TATTTTGATACACAATGATAAATGTACAAATACAGAGATTAGTCAATGGTGTAGATCTTGACACAACTGTTCTCGCTTCTGTCGGAGACGACCAGTTTGCCGTCCGGAGTGATGGCCACTCCTTGCGGGTGCCAGAGTCCGTTATCCCGGGACAGGAGGTGGCGTACGAACGTCCCGTCCTTACTGAACTGCGACACCCGGTGGTTCTTACTGTCCGCCACGATGATGTTGTTGTGGTCGTCCGTGTGGACCGAGGTGGGGTAGTCGAAGTACCCGTCCCCGGACCCGTACAGCCCGAACTCGTACGCGAACTCCCCGTCTGGTCCGAACACCTTGACGATGTCGTTTCTCCAGTCGCTAACGATGACTTGGCTGTCACTGTTGGTGGTGACGCGGAGTTGGTTCCCGAAGAGTTGGTGTGAGGAGGAGGCGAGGGTGTGGACCGGGGTACCGTCCGGGAGCAGCACGAACACCTGCCAGCCGATGGTGACGATGATCCGGCCCAGCCTGTCCACCGCGATGCCCCGGGAAGGCTTGTCCTTCTCCCTGAACCCTTCCACGTTGATGGTGTCTTTCTCCTTGCCTTGATTGTCCAGCACGTGGATGGAGTGACCATCCCCAGTGACCAGCAGGTCACCGTTGTCCATGCAGGCCACGTCCCACGGTTCGAAGCCAAGGTTGATGGTTCCGTACAGGTTTTCCTCGTCCATCACCTGTAGGCGTTTGTTGCGGACGTCCGTGGCGATGATGAAGCCCTCGGTGTTGACGAAGACCGACGCCGCCCAGTCGAACTCTCCGTCCCCGCTCCCTCTCTTACCGAGAGCTGTGGACAGACGTGCGGTTCCCGTGGGGTTCAGCGTGCGGCTAGGTTTGGCGACGGGCTTTGGTGTGTACGTAACTGTTTCACTTTCGACAGACGGAATTGTCGGCACAGTCGGCCAGGGTTCCGGCATGGGCGTTCTGATAGACAAACTACCGAACAGGCGCCCCAGTTCCTCCGCCCCATCCGCGACATTCGAGCAAAATTGCAAGTCCATCAAAGAAGTGGAAACTTCGATCTTGCTTTTATTGTCGTCGTCTATGTAGCGCTGTAGCCTACCTGTCAGGTCACGTGCCTGGGTCAGTACCTCCATAGCAGTGCCACTCCGGTCCATGTTCTCGGCGAAGTGGACGAAGCTGTTGCGGAAGTTAGATTCTCCTCCGCCGCCTGCGCTGCCGAGTCAAGTTCCTTCTTACTGGCCGCGTACAGCGCCTGGATATGACTGATTTTAGCTCGCTTTAACTCTTCTATGGCGTCTATCAATTAGTTTCGCCCGAGCCTCTACCGTGCTTACAGTCTGGTCCCACCCGGGCCGTCCCTATTTCTGCTTCAGTGAATGCTATTTCTATTGAGTCTTTGCTTGTTGTAAGAAACGCGACTCCCCCGCGCTACAGGCAGCAGGCGCCTTACGTTCTTTTCTCCCTCTCCGCCACCTCCTCTATTTCCA